AGAAAAACGAGAACTATAAAAAGGTAAAAAGGAAAAACGAGAAGGAGCAACCAAATGATAGGTGGATAAGGAAAAAGTGTAAATTACTCGTAACTATTAAGAAAAGGAAAAAGAACAAACGGAAGAGCAGCGACAAGGAAGGGTAGCAAATGCCATGCTCCGTAATTAACCACCTCAAGTTTATAAGTAATTACAAAAATACCTGGATGTACCAAATCACACGGTACATCCGGGTGTATGATATATTTTGCCCCACCTCAGCGCGAGAAGGAGAAGAAGACGATACCTTGAGAATAAGTTGTCTTTGTATCCAAGTATCCACCTTATTGTCATGTACATTAATTTTTAGGTGGAGAGTAATGTTCATCAATGAGACAAATTCACTGATGCAAGCATATGTGGCGCGGATGTAGAGAGATCATTAAAACGAAAGGTGGAGTTAGAGAGAGATTAGGGTTATTAAATACGGTTGATTTTTAATAAGTCAATAAATTGTCCAATTAAAATGATAGTCATATTTTAGGAAATACAAAGGTCATTAGTAGTATTAATGTTATTTTTTCTATGTTAAACTCGATTATAAGTTACTCAATTCTAATAAATAACTAAAATAAGCAACCCAATCACATAATAATCAACGAAATTAATAACACATAAGAAAATTAACTAATGATCATAAATTCTGCAATTGTTGATAATTAAAAGATGGAATACAAACAGAGAAACCTTACCTAGTTCAGCACTTTAGCGAGCCCTGCAAGCACGAAGCGATTCAGGCATTCAGTAGACTGCACCCTGAAGGCTTGGCGCAGTGGCAACATTCAACGTGTCGTCCCTTTTTCCCTTGTAGAGCCAGATACCGATGTGACGATTGGGCATCAGTGTGTTGCTGGTTGAGCAAGAGGTATGGAGTCACCATTCCTTGGTAGCAAGGGCAGTGCATGAGGGTGGTCAATCGACCGCCCTGAACGTTCGAGAGTGTAGAGTACTGAAATATCTTAACTCATTTAATATTTCATGACACTTAATTCATTATGACTCCCGTAGCTCATTAGGTGTAAAAATTATGATTTATGTAAAATCAGCACTGTCTGTTGAGATGAGTAAAATTTGATGCCCAATATTTATTATATTCTCAAATTTTAAAAATATCATATAATTTAATCATTACTTACGTGAAGTTTATGATATATATGTCATATATATCAAATGTAATTGCTTTTATTTAAACTCCACCTTTTATCCAAACTACATACTACGTATAAAACATTCAATTAGATATTGTTTAAAAACAGTCAATTTTTTATTTTGTGTGTAGTTAATTTTCTGCCTCTGCCTTTAAGTGGTAGGTTGCTTGCGCTCAGATTACTTTTTTGGCCTTCAATAATTAGGGCTATGTGTGATGTGTCATTGCGTAATGTCTGATTATAGTGTTAATTATTTATTAAAAATTAGAATAAAAATCTTTAATTGAGATTTAGAGGCCGTTTGACAACAACACTGCCAATTTTTTAACCAAACACATAACTTTTGCTTTCACACGCTGAATTGTGTAATAAGCAGAAAAAGTAAGGTTGAAGTTACTTTCTGGCTGTATTGGCTGAAGTTACTGTAGGTGATCATTTTAGCTATTTTTACATTTTTTTCTTTATTTTATTAAAAAAAATATTTTAAAAATAATTCTTTCTTAAATCAGTAGAATCAACCAATTTAGTCACTTTAGGCAGAACTTCATAAATGTCAGCAGAAACAGCCAAATAAGTCGATTTTCGTGCTACCATACGGGCTCTTTAAGTTTAAATGGTGGAAGTATAAATTTATAGGAAAAATTGATAGTAATAATTCCAACTATTGGCGGTCCGCTCATAATAATCCCAACTATCGATTATTTCAGAATAATCCCAACTTTAGGGACCTTCCGCCAATAATGGTCCCTATAAATAAATTCTTGTAGTTTCTAAAATGAATAAGAAAAGATAGAGCAAGTAATCCCTATAAATAATCCTAACTTTTAATTTTTACGCTTAATTTCTATTTAAAATTCACTTGTTATATGATGTAATATCTGGTCATGGACCATTATTGGCGTATGGCCCATACAATTGGGATTATACAAAAATGGTAAATACTATCGTACAACCAGCTGTACCTAGGGCATGGTACAATCGGGTATTTTTGCAATTAATTAGAATTCCAATGGTAAAATCTTACTGATGTCCTGGGAGCTGTTGAAGGAGGCGCCGATCAGTACTGCTCGCTTGCTCAAGTTCGGCCTGGAGTTCCGATCGAAGTTATTTGCTCGTTGTTAGCTGGGAGTCCGGCTGAAGAGGAATACGGGTTGCTACGGCTTTAGTTTGTTTTTTCTTCTTTTTCCAATCAACTTTCTAATTTAGGTTTTTTTTTAAATTTATGCATTATATGTGTGCTCATTTGGTACTGATGTGATGCTCATATTAAAATGTTATATCAATACATATTTGAAAAGTAGCAAATTACATTAGATTCAAGTTGGATTTAATTACATATATGAAGGCACGGATCATGATATTCAATTGCATGTTTTATTACTCGATAGAGGCGATTTGAACTCAATAAAAACGTCTTGATGCTCAATCGGTACTCAATTGCACGATTTTAATACTCAGTAGAGGAGGTTTAATGCTCGATGAAAACTGTCCGTATGCTCAACATATTAATGCTTATTTTGTAAGCTACATATGCTCAATCGATACTGATATTATGCTCATTTTTATGAAGCAGAGATCACGATTCTGAATATTAGACTTCTAATACTCAATATAATAGGTTTGATGCTCATTAAAAGTTCATTAATGCTCATTCAGCAGAAACCGTGAATTTCATCTCAATAACGAAGGTTTGATGCTCAATTAAAATGTTGTGATGTTCAACTAACAAAACAACTAAAAATTCATTAATACTCATTTTGTAAGTTACGTATGCTCATCAGGTATTGATTTTATGCTCATTTTGTAAATGTCATATCAATGCATTTTTAAAAGTACTATTCTAGATTACATTCACATATTGGAATTCATAGGAGTTGATTATAAAGATAATGTAATAAGTTTTTATAAAAGAAAAAATAACAAAAAAGAAAGTGAATTAGAAGTTATGAAGCAGAGATCATGATTATGAATATTGGACTCCTAATTCTCAATATAAAAGGTTTGATGCTCATTAAAAGTTCATTATTACTCATTTGGTACTAATGTAATGCTCATTTTTACAATTCATATCAATGCATATTTCAAAAGTATCATATTATATTAGACTCGCATATTGAAATTAATAAGAGTGGATTATAGATATAATTTAATAAGTTTTTATAAAATAAAAAATAAGAAAAAGAAAGAGAATTAGAATATATGAAGCAAAGATCATGAAACTCATTGTTAGCCTCCTAATACTCAACAAAATAGGTCCTATGCTCACTAAAAGTAGACTATTGCTCATTTAGCAGGAACCGTGTTAAATGAGTATGCTAAAATATTAAATGTGAATACATAACATGTGAAATGAGTAGCAAAAAGTTCAAAATAAGCGTTACACCAATATGCATAAATATGAATAATTTAGTAAATGAATCTAATCGAGTGAATATATTACATGTGTGGATTATAGAAATGAGTTTTATGATATACTGAATGAGGTTTAAACCAAATGAATATTGATATGACTTTAAAAGACGAGCACGACAGAGATTTAAAATGAGCATATAATAATGAACAATATGATCATTTTAAAGTTTTTTATGCTCATTCAGTATGTGTGTTTTGCTCATTTCAAAATGTCATATTACTGCACATATCATAAGTATCATATTTTCATTCGCTAGCTAGTTGTGTTCATTTTAAAATGCTATATTAATGCAGATTGTTGTATATAATTGTTACGGTATACTCATATGAAATCGTTTTTTGATCATTTTATAATTTCATATCGATGCTCATTTCATTTAAACATTATAATCATTTAAATATAGTATAGAACTCATTTCCACTCACAATCCACAAATCTAATTACATTCATTTGTTAGACTATCGGTAGATTTAGCCATTAGATATATAACAATTTTTCAAATTCTTATTCTAGAACTACATACTTTATTATATTTATTTTATAATGTTACACCTATGCACATTTACTCTACACATTATACTCATTTTAATTTAACAAAATACTCATTCCCATATTACACACGTAATAACTAAACACATTAAATTTTAATTAATAAATTAATGAAGTTTACTATTTTTTTACAAAAAATTAACATACTGGAAAAGTATATCTCAATCATTTTACAAATTCTTTAAGCATCAAATTCAATGCAAAAAAAACATCTAAAACTCGTTAAAATTGTAAAAACAGAATAAAGTTAAATTCTAACCATAACAAGAAATATTCTCAAAAAATAATGTATATCTCAGTATTTTATATAAGTGCAATAAGTCATAAAATATTTGATCAAAAAAGAAATTAACATTCACTTTGTCATTTTTTCAAACAGTTGATGTGCATTCATATTATGAGTCAATTTAGAAAATTGAATCATTGTTAATGAGAGATGAAGATGTATGTTTTGAATCAAATTGTACCTTACTTAAGGTTTTTGGAACTAACATTCAATTTTAGAATCTCCAGGTAGTTTAAGAATTATAGATATAAGAGAAAAAAAGAAATATGAAGTAAAGAAGAAGGAATGTTGAGTGGAAGATGCGGGACATAAATGAATGAAGTTACTGGCCGGGTTAAAGCAGGGTTAGAGCAACAGTAAAATGGGCCTTTTATTATGGGTTGTACTAGTTAGTGGACTGTTTTGTTAATTGAGCTGGATGTACGTGCATCCAGTTGTAGGATATAGAAACTCTACAAACATAATCAATAGTTGAGATTGTTGTGAGCAGACAAGTAATAAGGAAAAGCACAATTGGAACCATATATTGCGGTTGAGAATGGGATGAAGAAGTATCCGGAAAGACGGCAGTAATTTTATCCGATGGTTGTTGACTTGATGATTTGTCGTTAATGGTGGGATCCAATTTTGTTCGGACAAGAAATGGAATGCTTTGGGTAATCTTTTTCCTCAACCGCTTTCCCTCTCCTTTACGCCATTCCCTTCTCCCTCTTTCTCCCTCCCTCCCGCTCGCGTCCGCTATTTTCCCGGCGTCCATTCCGACGACTAAAACCCGGCAACACCCCCTCGCCGTCGACTGCTCAACCAGTCAACTCCAAAGGAAAAAAAAACTGAACCAGATTGATTGATTGGTCGCATGGAGCTCGTTCGCCACTGCTTATGCACCCATGACCGAGGCTTCTCTGCGCAAGCCTGCGACCTTTGCGGGCCCGTTTTTTTCCCGCAGTCAACTCAGGTCCAGCCGGAATCACCGGGTTTTCACGGAGAAGGCGCCGGGGATAGAGAATTGGCGCCGAGTTATCAGAATTTCCGGAGCTTGATCACTTCTGCAGCTTCCCTTTGTCTTACCGTGCTCTTCGTGATCGGTACGGTACTTTCACGTTTCCATACGTTTTCGCGCTTCGCCGGCTTAAATCCTGTCTGTAATTGTTTCTATTTTGGGATTATTATAATTTAATTGGCTGAGCGAATGGGTTCATCGTTTTTTTTAATTATTCTTTCACAATTAGAATGTTTCTAGGAATGCATAAAAGGTGATTGAAATGTTATGTTCATCTTTCATGCTTTATAAATTGTCAAATAATATCGAGGATACTAGGATAGAGATAAGCCATCCTAAATTCCTAAGCTTCTCGCCCATATCCCTCCAAAAACCGCTAATAAAACACACCTTAAGCTGGGATTAGAAAACATGGGAATTGAAAATGTTATTATTGTTCTGCAGATAAGGTTTGATACGCACCAAAGACTTACAGGTTGTTTTCCGTTTGGTATTAATCATCTGAAATGCTTTTTATCTTTAATGCAAGCAGTTGGCGCCTTAATCGGTGGTGTATTTGGAGCATTAGCTGGTTGGGCTGCTAAAAGCGGCATCCTTAGAGGAGCAGGACTGTGCACCATTGCAGGGGCAGTACTCTCCTTAGAAGCTCTGGAGGCTTCTCATGCCTATTGGTGTCCGGACTGCTCTGGCTCACAACACAGAACATCTTCTTTGGTATTGCATATTTTCATTCATTATGACCTTGTTCTGTACTTCTGTGGATTAATCATTTGTCCCCTTTGAATTTATGGCGAGTGGATAGTTGTTTTTCAGGCAAATTTCATTAAAGAGCTTCTCCATCATAGGTTTGTTGATGATCAGTTCCAGCATCCTGCGGCGCCACGAACTAATGGTCATCAGGTATACTTTTATTTTATGGCCATCAGGTATACATATGTATATATGCCGCGCCGAAAGTGGTGTATGAAATTGGGGGCAATTTGTGTGATTAGAAAAATACGAAGTATAAGAGATCGACAACCGAACAAACCTTTGCCATATAGGAGGAATGTGTGTTTATTTGTATTTCTGTATGATTAGACGGAGTATTAAACTTTTGGGGTGGTAACTTATCATGCTTCAGTAGATGTGGTTTCTTGGTGTAGACCAATCTTGAATATTTCTCCTCCTTTTGAGTTTAAATCAGGTCAATTGTTCATTTGAAGTGTATTTAAGACTTCAATATTTATTTATTCTTAAAGATTGGCTTGAGATGGGAACAAGCAAAATTTTATATTTTCATTTGTATCTTTACATTTGGTTGGTGTATGATGTTGTAACAATTTCCTTATGGCACTTATTTGTATCTCATTTCGGTTCTTTACCTTTCAACTACACAGCCATACTAATACCTTTGTACTTATATATTGTGTGGGTAATGAGCTTCTCGAACTAACATGGGGATTTACTCTGCATTTGTGCACAATCTTTTGATGAAAATATACTAGCAGGGGAGTATTAGCCCAAGTAACGATGACGTCCACGAGGTGATCGACTCCTACAGTGAGTTGCCATTAAGAGGGTTGTCAGGGGATTCACTTAACAATCTTCCTTCTCATGTCTTGACAAGTGAGGTGAAAGCTGGAGATAACATCTGTTGCACAATATGTCTGCAGGTTTGTAGTCTTCGTACCAAATGTTGAAAATGTCACGTTTGATTCAATCCTGGATTATTGAAGCTGATGTACCAGATGTTATAGAAAACGTTGAATATGAATCAATCCTGGATCATACAAGTCGCTGCTGACAGTCATTATCGTTCATTTAATTTGCAGGATATCGGAGTAGGGGAAACTGCTAGGAGCTTGCCACACTGCAACCACATGTTCCATTTGAGCTGCGTCGACCAGTGGCTAGCGGGCCACGCTTCCTGTCCTGTGTGCCGAAGAAACGTTTAAGCTAGGCTGCCTTGTCACATTTTGGGTTACTTTAAACTGTGTAAAATATTTGTGTCGAAGAATACTGGATAATAATTATAGTACCAAAAATTAACAAGAGTACAGACAAATTAACAAGAGAGACCTAGTTACATAAGGAAGCTAGCTACTAAGATTGACAAAAGTCATAACTGAAAAAACAGTTGCTGAAACTATATTTTAGAAACCATTTATTTGTTGCGACTTGTGAATTCAACTCTCCTTTGTCCTTTGAACTTTGAAGGCACCAATCACGGAGAGAAAAATGAAGACACCAACCGTTTAGTAAGAATATTTGTGAAATATATGTGTTGTACATTTTCAAGATCGATCCCATACCAAGTATGCAGAAATCATCTATTCGTGTCTTGTCATTTAACCGCACGAAAAGATGCCGAGAACAATACAAAAGTGACCATTCATGAGAAGCAACCTTAGGATTTGAACAACTATCGAAATCCAATAAATATACATCATGTTTGAATGAATATACGCACTAACAATTTATGTTTACCTAAAATATCTATTTAGAGAGTTAGGAAGTGTTTATTTCATTGCTAAAGTCACAGTTAGGTATGTAAGACAAGTGAAGTAAACACGCAAACTGGTTAAAAAATTGTTTATTCACTTAAAAAAGTGCTTAAAATGCCGCTTACTAAGCATATCAACCCATTGTATTAATTAAGCATATGAGGTGAGCCCCACCTATTATATATTTATATTATATACTTGTATTCAACTATTCATGAAGGTTTGTGGGTCTATCTTATTTTGGACATTTTAATGTTAAACGGTGTGTTAAATTCTTTGAAGTAATTAAACATGAGCTTACAACATTGCTTATTAACGCGAGTCTTAATAAGCGCCGTTTAGTAACCCCGTGAAGAAAACGTGTCCTTAGAGGATTGCTTACAAATTAAATATGACGATGATGAAGCTTCTATTTACCATCACACAAATTTTAAGTTTGGGACATTTTACTTCACATGCTAGTGAGTCCTGTTTATTAAAACATGTTTTATTAAACCATTGTTTACTCAAAGATGTTTAATAAACATATGTTTATTCAAATATTATTTAATTTTAAATGTCAATTATAATCTTCCTTTCACTCCCACCTACCCCACCTTATTCCACCCCAACTGTTACCTTTACCCATTAAAAGGGTGGTGGGGGCAGGGGGTCCTGAGTAGGTAGTGGTGGTGTAGAGGTAGACATTGGGGGCAGGGTATGGGGGTAAGGGTGTGAGTGGGGGCAAGTATGTGGCAGGGTGAGGTAAGGGTGGGCCAGGTTAGGCAGTGGAAAGTTAGGGGTAGGTAGGTGTGGGGGTGGGGGTAGAGAAAGGTTGGGGTACATAGTGGTGGTGGGGTAGGAAGGTGTGGGGGACCAGGTGGGTTGGGAGCAAGGTGGGGTAGGGGTGGTCCGGTGATTTTTCATTATGAGATTTAACATGTTTCTTAGTAAAATGGAATGAATATTTTTAATTACTTGAGTATTTTTAAAACTAAGTAGACGATTATCCAAAAAATCGTTTACTTCTCTTCTATTATTAAGGTAATTGTGAAATTGACTAAATTTATCGTGAAGTAAATGTAACGTTGATGTTATGTTTTAACAACAAAATACTACTAGTTAATCGATATAATTTAATTTATATCATTAAACATAAGATATGGAGTGCTATTTTGCAGATTTAATTTAATTTAAATATAATGTGGTTTTTGCTTCCACAGTGAAAATAACCTTTGGGAGAGCCTGTACCGTACACCCGACTGTACGATTCTCAACATACAACCGAGTATTTTATCTTACACGTAATGAGTATTACTTTTTAAAAACAATGAGCATTTGTATTAAAATATTGAGAAAAGTGTCATATTGGCCCTCCAAGTTTGTACGGAAAGTCAATTAAGCCCTCGTACTTTAAATTTCATCAATTAAGTCCTTCTACTTTGCGATTTTCATCAAAACCGGCTTTTAGCAGGTAACCCGCCAGTCAGCAGGTTACCTGCTGACGTGGTGCACACATGGCGCTTACGTGGCCTGACACAGCACACACGTGGCAACCACATCACTTTTTTCCTTTTCTTTTTCTCTTTTCTTTTTCTTTCCTTTCCCAGATCCCCTTCCCCATCGTTCTTCCTCCTCCAAACCTGCAAAACTTCATTTTCTTTGCAAATGGCGGAATCTTGCTGTGATTGTCTTTATTTATTTATTTTGTCTCTTTCCCGACCCCTTTCTTTATTACTTCGCCTATGACTGATAAATATCGCCGGAAACACTGTTAAATCGAAGATCAGTTTTTGCTCATAACTCAAATATAGGCGATTGTTTTTTATTTTGAGACTAGATTAGAGTTATCTAGCTAGGGAAGACTCTCCATATCAATTTTGAGCAGGTGAGAACGAGTTTTGGGGGCTGGTTTGTAGCTGGCCGGAATCTGCTCACATTTCTCATTTTGGTACTCCTTCGCCATTTTTTCCGGCGACTTCAGGGCTCGGTCAGAAAGTATAGAATATGTAAATGAGGTCTCCGTGAAGAGGAGCACCTCCTCATATTTTTAGTTTAATTTTCCGAGCACCTTCAATTTTGGCGGCTACTGTTCACCTGGCCTGCGACCTCACTGCTGCGATGGAGAAGAAGAAAGACGAAGGAAAAGAAAAGAAAGAAGGAAAAAAGAAAGTGGAAAAGAAAAGAAAAAAATGACGTGGCTGCCACATGTGTGTTGTGTCAGGCCACATGTGCGCCACGTCAGCAGGCAACCTGCTGACTGGCAGGTTACCTGCTAAAAGTCGGTTTTGATGAAAATTATGAAGTAAGAGGACCTAATTGATCAAACTTAAAGTAGGAGGGCTAAATTGACTTTCCGTACAAACTAGGAGGGCCAATCTGACACTTTTCTCTAAAATATTAATTGTATTGGTAGCACGGTTGGGTATTAGAAGTGTGCAACAAAATATCACGATTTACACATAATATATATGCCACAAACTAATTTATTCATTTAACTATACTATATCATTGTACTATCTATAATAAAAATTACTTATGAATTTTATAATTTAATACCAATACTCAAATTTATACTCATTAGGTATAAGTTAAAATACCCAGTTCTAATGTGTGCATAGTACAGCTAGTTGTACCATATAATTTATGTAACTTTGACATAGATATGACTAAATCGAGTATCATATTTCTTGCACACTTTAGTTTGAGAGTCCGATTATGTTCACCCCTTTGAAGAAGGTGAACACCACCCCCTCCCTCCAATCATGCCACTTGGCATTACAATTATTTATTTTCTTAAAATTATACTTCGTATAACTTTATTATATAGAATCTAATTTTCACAAAAAATATATCAGATTGATTAGCTTTTTATGATCTTTTCAATGCTATTCATATTTACATATAAAAATTGAATACACACACACATTCTTAAATCTATTTTTAGTTGGATTTTTGTTTGAAATTTCACATATCCAATATTGGTACCATACGAAAGATCATAAAAAATTTAAAAAATGGTAAATTTTTTGAAAATGAATAATCCAAAAATGCAAAAGTCATAACATGAGGCAACCCATTAGGGTGGGGTGATATTCACCCTGTTTTGAGGGGTGAACAAAATTGTTCTCTTAGTTTGAATAATACTCGAGTAATATATAATATATTTTGCAAGTGCAATAATTGAAACAATCTTTTTCCATCAATATTATTAAATTAAATTCAAAAGACAAAATATGACTTATTTTAAAATTTTATAAAAAGTGACATTTTCAGTGACTAGTTTTTAGTGACTCATCATCTACTAATGGCTTATGTAGGGGGTGTGCAAGAAATAGTATATAATACCATAGAAAGTACACAAGGGGTGTGCAAGAAATAGTATATAATACGAAGTATCATAAAAAGTATGTAGGTAAAGGGTGTGCAGGAAATAGTGACTCGTAAGGGTGTGCAAGAAATAGTACGATAGTATATAATACCAATGACTTGTCACTCACTCACTCACTCAAGTAAATTTTTAAGAAATAACCAAGCAATATTTTGCACACTTCTACCTCAAGTACATAGGGGTGTGCAAGAAATATAGTATGTGATACCGTAGATACTATTCATAAAGAAATTATTTAATTCCCCGATTTAAGCAATTCTAATTCGCGATCTCACATGACTTTAATTGTACTTCCCGATCTTCTTGGTCCTCAACTGAAACAAGAAAAGTTTGGGGGTTGGAACTCGAAATAGTAACATATATATGGAGTATATAACTATTTAAAACAGAAATAGTGGACAAGTGGACAACAGGATAAAAATAAGACCTCTTATATAAAGTGACAGTACGTACAGTATTAGTAATTTTTAATTTAGACCCAGATCAAGTCGCGACTAAAATTTAGACATGCACAAAAAAGAACCGAACGGTTCATATTGCCCCGCTTGCAAAAAAAAATACGGGATTGACACGGATTTGATACGAATTTACCGATAATTTCGCGCCTAATAGCTCATGTCAAATTGTTGTTGTCACAGCCGGATTTGACATATTTATGCCAAACTCCCTGCCAATTTTGTGAATCCCTACCAATCCCGTGTTTTTTTGTAGTGTAACCGGCAAATTTTGGGCACATATATTTATCTGCCCAGCTGGACCCATAAAAATATATGGGTAGACTTGGTATAGGATGTTTGGACCTGTTTATTTGGACTAAGCTCGGAAACATACATCAAACAAAGAAAAAATCCACTGAATAGCATTAACATAAGAAGAGAATTTATATGATGAACATATATGGAATGGAATTCGATCATTGATACTCCATGTAAAACACTTGAATTGGTAGATACAATATTGAAACAATATAAAAGCAATATATAAAAGCAATATATGAACTATAGAATTATATATATACAGTCAATAATGTACCTCAGTGGTGTGACCACACTTCTTCTTCCTGCAGTTCACAGCCCTTAGAGGGAGACGAGCATAACACCTACACGTACAAGGTACAACATGCAATGCATGCCATTTATTTAATTGATTAGAGTAATTGATTTCAGAAAATAAAAATTAAATACTCTCTCCATCCTAGAAAATTCTTCTCAGTTTGACTTGACACGCATATTAAGAAAGTGAAATAAAGTGGAAATGTATGATTGTAGTTGTGTAAGAAAAAGGTGAAATGAATGTGAACCACACAAATTGTCCAAAAATGGTAAGTGAGAAGAATTTTTTGAAACGGCCCAAAAAGGAAAGCGGAAAGAATTTTATGGGACGGAGGGAGTAATTAATTAAGAAGATGAGATGCGTAGTTGATTATTAATTACTTGCGGCAGACTTTTTTGTGCTGCATGTATTTGAGAGCCAAAGCCTTAAGAGAAGGCTCGAAGATGCCTCCCCTCAGCCGCAGAACCAGATGAAGGGTTGATTCTTTCTGGATGTTGTAATCACACAAAGTTCTTCCATCTTCAAGTTGCTTTCCCGCAAATATCAATCGTTGCTGATCTGGTGGAATTCCTGCACAATATTTATTTTATAAAAGTATGTCATTAAAATAATAAAACTATCAAACATATATAGGTATATATATAGGTCAAAATATAAGATGTTTAATCACTATATATGTTCCATATTTTTGACTTTTTGCATTTTGTAATCATTTGTTTTTGATAGTAGAGCATTTTGTAATTATTTGATCGAGAGTAATTACAAAAGCATCATTAATCTTAGGGTGAGGGTCAAGTACAAAAGATTATATTACTACAAAAGATTAGCAAGCGTTATATTACTACAAAATTAAACAAAAGCATATCGCGAGAAAAGGATCAGAAAAGAATATTCAATTGCCCCAATGTTAGTGAGAAGGAATTGAAGTACTTTGCTATATTGACTTTTCTCGATAAACGATGATCGACAAATTTTGAACAATGATTCTAATTATTGTACTTGTATAAACAGTGTATTTATAAACTTTGTAGTTTATAATTTTCATATACAAAAATATATGTCATGCGTATATACATATAAGTAGGTGCGATATATACCTTCTTTGTCTTGGATCTTGGCCTTGACATTGTCAATGGTGTCGCTACTCTCTACTTCGAGAGTGATCGTCTTCCCCGTCAAAGTTTTCACGAAGATTTGCATTGTGTTTGAATTGCTTAGCTTCCGTTTAATTACCTGCTTAATGGCTAGCTGCGCTAGGGTTTTATTTCTCGCACCCAGGAATTATACCTACGTAGTAGTAGTAGTTGCGTAAATATGTATATACAACAATTAGGGCTTTGCACATTCGAATGGACCGGACATGATATATTTAGTTCCGGATAGTGCTAGACAATTTTGTCCAAATCGCATTGTCACTTTAATTTTTAATGAAAGATTTTGGGTAACTAGCTTTCATAAAAAAGATAATACTCCTGATCTGATGACATCACTGTGACACTTTAAGGAAGAGGTCACATGTTCGAATTTCATCCCAGTTCTAGGATGTTGGCCTTAACAGAATAGATAATACCGTAGTATAATAGGCTAGAAAGATTTGCCCAAAAGAAAAGATACAGTCGGCCTTCTATTTGATTTTGTGTAACTTTTTGTTAAAACCATTTTTTTTTATTTTAATTTAAACATACTTATTTAATGTGTCATAATATAATTATATTAACAAATTTTTATTTATCTAACATGCATATTTTAGATTATGGCAAAACCTTGATGCATAATTATGAATAGAAATTTCTAATTTGTTTGATGTTATTTTGTTTTTTGTTCTTTTGGGACAATGACATGGTTTTTATATTGGAACGGCTTAGAAAAAACCGTACTGAACGGCTTTAATTTTGGAACCTAACCATAATGTAACGCTAAACTAGCTACACTACGGTGTCAGAGTTGGCAAAATACGTAAATGTCTCAAACCGTGTCACCCTTATAATTTATACTCCCTCCGTCCCAAAAACAACTTCACAGTTTGACAATCACACAGATTAAGAAAATAAATTTGAGTTTACTGTAGAGTGCACTGTTTTGCACTGTTTAAACACTGTTTTGCACTGTTTAAACACTGTTTGACACTGTTTAGCACTGTTTTGATGTAAATAATTTGCCAAATAAGGAAAGTATTGAAGTGTGAAGTTAATTTTGAGACATTCATTTAAGAAAAGTGGGAAGTTGTTTTTGGGACGGAAGGAGTAGTTCTTTGACTTGTTTCAAAAGTGGAAGACCGGATCATTTCCACTCAATCAACATTTGTGTTTAGCAAGGGTGTTTTTAATTGATTTAGTTTTACTACCAGATCAAACCAGAGCAAATTAAATTTAATTAAATAGACCACACACAAATAGATTAGATCATATCACACCAGACTAGAAGTAGAAAATACTAATTTAAAATGCACATACATCAAACGTTTATTGGACCATTCTAAAACATGTCATACCGGATCTAAATAGATGAGGCCAAAACAGACCGTTTTTTAAATTTATGTATACAATATTGATGTCACATGACATTACAGATTATATAAACTTATTTAATTTGATATATTTTTTTATAAAAACCAGTCTAAAAGGAAAATATCATAACATTTTAAAGAAAAGGAACAGTTTGTCACATGTCTGCGAATTAATGGATAACGATCAATTTCGGAAGTAACTATATAACTAGAGTGTCATGTGAGCTGGTAGCCTCCTACGCTTGAGCGAAAAATTTAGTTTAAATAAAAAATTAGGACAAACCGGTCTTAAACAGACCAGACCAGACCAGACCAGACTTAAACAGACCAGACCAGCTGACCAGACTTAAACAGACCAGACCAGACCAGACCAGACCAGACTTCCGTAGTTATAAAATACACAGAGACCAGACGTTTACCAGACCAGACCAGACTTAAACAGACCAGACCAGACCAGACCAGACCAGACTTAAACAGACCAAACCAGACCAGCAAATTTCAGTCCAAAAGAAAACATCCTAATTGGAAGTAATATTGAGGGTGCGCAAAGCAGCCCCCTTCAAAAATCACCTTGAAAGAATTCCCTAACTATGACTAAAACATACTTCGTATAACAAAAATGCAAAAGTAGAACTATTGCGTTTTATAGGACTAAAACTACACTGATTTGACCACATTACCCATAATGAATAATAAATTTAAAAAAAACATAAAACACGATTGTTCAGTTACTTCCTCACTCCCATAACTACCATTGTCGCTAATGGTGCGCCGCTGCCGTGGTCCAGAAATACCACAACCACCACCCCTTAGCAAGACATCGCCTCCAGCCGCAGGCCTCCAGCGAGACTCTGCCCACCATCGAGCATTACCGCCACTGACCCCCCCCCCCCCCCCCCCCCCCCGTGAGACCTCAGCTCCCTTGCCACCATTCAATATGACCGTCATTGAGAATCCCCGACGAGGTCTCCATGTCATTCAACACTCAGCAAAAGCCTCCACCACAACTACCTCCTCCAGCGAGATCATCGTTTTGAATAAATGGCATGTGCCATGTTAAAGTAATAGTGGCATTTTTTGTGTAAAAATATGTCATTCGTTTATGTTAAAATGGCATTTTCAAAATATTAAAACTTGGCATTTTCAAAATGCAAAACTGTCGATCATGTTAAAGTAATTGTGGTGTTTTCGTATCAAAATATGTCATTTAGAATAGAAATGGGCAAGCGGGGTAAAAAAAGCATGGCACTTGTTGGCTTGTTGCATGAGAGTGAGATCAAAGTTCAATTTGCATCCTCCCAACTTGTTGTCCGGTCGGTGCTGAGTGTCATCTTTTTTATTGGATAGATGTTCCCTATTTTACTCTTGTACATTACCCTACTACGGAGTATTTTTTAACATACACCTTCTCTCTAACTTTTTATTTACTCTACTTTGTCACTTCTCTCTACCCCTCAGCCCCGATTCCATCCATAACCCATAACATAGATATTGCAACATAGATATTACTAGGTCTACTCGATCCAAAACGATAGTGCAATTTATTGGTTAACATAATTCAATTTTAACTTAAGTTTCATGCATTTAATTGAATCCGAAGATTTTTGCATTCTTGCATTAGTTCTTCGCATACTTCACATATATGTCAAAGCATTAAAGTGCAGCGACGATTTAGTTTAGTTATACACTTATACACTAATGCTTGCGTCTTGCATTGTTGCATAGAGATAGATGATAGCCCCTTATAAGATGTTTTGTTAAATTTCCTCTTCTTCGGAATAGCCTCGAACTAGCCGAAACAATAAGTTGCTATTAGTTTTGTTCCATACATCAAACAAGGCCAGTTGTTCATTGTACATGATCAACTTCTCAAGTCCTTCTGATGGGGGATAAGATTGATTATGTGTATCGCCTTGTTACAGCATACATCATAATTATGCATGTATATAACTCTAGGAAAGTCATTAAAATGGTGTTTAGGGCAGAGTACACTTGAGTCAACATGTATTTTCTTTAAATGTATTCTTTTCTGCATGCGCTCGCTAATATTAATGATTTCATGATTTGATTTTGTGTGGCCAAGGTTTAATTTGTTTGACGACAAACAAATGCTTAAGTGTAGGGAATTTGGCAAGTTCGTTTTCAAGCACAATTTAATGTGTTGAAGAGAGCCATTGATACAAATTTCTAACGTAATTTTGTATTATTTTGCTAAGATTTCATTTATTATGTTTTCCGTGGACCTTAGTATTTCTGGAAGGACATATATTAGGTTTATTAGAATGAAAAGTAACTCAAGATAAAATTTGGAGATGAAGGAGAGTTAAAGCCAGAAAACGGTTATTTAGACCACTACCCAACTCGCAACCTTGAATCAAGATGACCCTGTGCCAATCATTTGAACATATCCTTACGTGGACAAATGCAAACAAAACCATTCAAATTTTATATGAAAGATAACTCAATGGGATGCAAATATTATGAAGATATCATGGCGAGAATAATCCTAGGTGGGGCATGACAGAGCCATTGGCCAGAGAAGATCGTTGTCACACGACGGAACAATGTGATTGTCACTACCAATAGTTATGCCACTATCCTTTTCAATATGTTTCTTAAAGGTCACCTAGGGTTACGAGGGTCAGTAGCAAGGGCAGCAGAGTGCCAATGGTTGGAACTTGGAAGACGGGGTGCAATTGACGGCCTCTAGGTAGCTGTCACATACGTTACAACTAAATTTCGATACTAAGAAAATATATTACCTAAATAGTATAAATGTCTATTAATCACTTAATAAAATACTACTCCCTTCACCCTGCTAAGATTGTCCCTGACACTATTCACTTTGTCAACACAAATCACTCTTAATCTCTTACTTTATATATCAAAATTTTATCAAATTTGATTCTGGTTTTTGTGACTTTGTAAAGTTTTTTAATGTAGTTTCTGAATATTTAATTTATTTTTTCTAAAAATAATTTGAGTGCGAACAGGGATTTGTTTGCTTTATCATCGGTCAAGCATCGTAAACCGAATTGTCCCAAACATAGTGGGACGGAGGTAGTACTATTCTTTTCCTTGAGTATTACTTGAATCCTTTACATAATAAGATATCTATATTCATGAGACTAAATATTCACATCGAGGGTGGTTGAGATGTGCATGTTGCATGGATGTGCAATTGTGCATACATACTAAAAAAGAATGTTAAACAAATAAGACAATCAGATAAAAGGTGAGAGTAACACCTATCGATAATAAGATGTGAGAGTCTCGATTGCAGTTATTTGATCATGTTCATAGAAGATCGAAAGATACACATGTTAGATGAGTTGAGAGGTAGGGTTGTAGGGACATAATGCGGGGATGATAGGGCAAGGAAGATCCTAACAAACGTGTATTAGAGGAGTTAGGAGTGAGATGTTTTTCTTAAATTAGATAAGAGTATGACTTTGAAGATACCAAATGATGAAGAATATTCATGTGGAAGATTCATATCCTTTTTTTCATTTGTTTACCTTCTTTATCCTTCCTATGTTCCTTGTCCTTTTTATCTCAATATTTTAATCATTTTTATTCTATCTTGTATTCTTGTTTATCTTTATAATATCTTTTTAACTTTATCATCTTTTTCAGTTTTTCTACTCCAATTTCATGCGTCATTCATATTAGCTAGGGGTGGATTCGGGTCGGGCCACCTGGCCCGTGGACCGGCCCAGCCCAGCCCGTGGACTGGCCCAGCCTGACCCGCTACTGTGCGGGACCAGGACCGGCCCGGTTCTCGGGTCCAGGTCCGAGTCGAGACTAGGCTCAGGGGGCAGGTCCGAG